AATTACGTGCATGAAACAAGCAAAACAAACCAGTCCTTTCTGTTAAGGCATTGGAAATCAGCACAGATGCCACGTCAAGCAAGCCAATGCTATTGCATTTAGATCTCCCGGATGTTCCAACGTTGATACCCACCATGCTGCTGCATTTCGTGGCCAGTACCACAAGAAATCCCGGCTTGCACCGGCCCTTGAGGACGAAGATCAAAGCCAGCCTAGGCGTCTCAGCTATTGGGGCTGGGGACACAGTGGGATTAGTGGCAAGAGAGGTCGAAATTCTAAATCGCAAGTCTAATTGGAATGCAAGAAACAAGAAGCCACTGGGAGTGAGCAAATCCATGAAATTGCTTTCGGTCTTTCTGGTGAATCTAGACCCTTTCCGTTTGCCTTGCTTCTTGGGCTCAAAGTATAACAAGTCAAATTTGGCCGATCGGAGCTCTGCACATCTCATGAATCTTGTTGTGTTTGCAGCTCCGGCGAAATATTCAAGAAAATCAATATCCTGCCGCAGGTGATGTTCAAATTTTCTGATTGAGTACAATCTATAGTTCACCTCAAACAACTCGGACGGAAGTGTCCTTCGTGAGGTCAAACTGGCCTTCAACCCAATGCAGCATCACCAGAACAGCCACCACTGCCTGATAGCACAGGAGGAAAGGACGTGCTACAAGGATCTATAAGGAATCGGGTTTTGTGAATCTGAAAGCATCGGATTGGTGGGGATAAATTACAACCTGCCTTCGGGCATCCCATGGCCCGCAACCGCCATACAAGAAGATCCAAATTCATCTTGGAATTTTGAGTTTCGAGCCAGCAAATCTTTCTCGGATTGAAATTTCATGTTTTGCCAAATGATTTTTTCTGATCGGATCTCATCCGGCACATTGCATGAATCAACTCGTGAAAAGTGTAAGTGTTGCTAAACTAGCCAGGTGGACGACCATGGTGTTTCAGCTGGAGCCGAACCCTCCACAGGTCCTTCTTCAGGTTTCTCGCCTTCGAAGATTTGCCCATGCAGGCCTGGGCGAGAGAAGCTGGAGAAAGAAACATGATTACTTAATTTGGGATGCGCCCACAGTGCTGAAATGAGCACTTCTCTTTACTTAAGAATTCAGTTGATGTGGTGCAGTCCTTAACACTACTGACTCCTGGATACGAAAAAACACTAGCAAATTTTGAAAGACACGAAGCTGCCACAGAGCTGCAATTCTGCAAATTCAATCGGTGATCACATTTCAGCACAACAAACCCCATTTTCTCTTGAAGAGCTTGTTCTCTTGGGGACACAATTTTATTTGCACCCAATCGGAAAGTTCACACAGACGCATTTTCTCACGTGGCACTTCCGGTCAGCGCAGGCTGAGGCATGGAATGAAAGCCGAGCCGCACATGAAGGCGAGGCACCCCTTAGCCCTATAGCCAATGAAGTGAAAGTGGGAATTTCAGATTTCAACAGAAAAATGTGGGAAACTTGTTCACCATGGGGCGCCTTCTACCCTTCAAGCTGGGACCCCTGAAGAGTAAGGACATGATCTTTCTATCTTGAATGCCACCATGCCCGATCGACTAAATCACGAGGAAAGTGTCCAGTGTCAAGTTGTTTTTATTAGAAACACTCGGAACACCAACTGACTGCCAGCATTGGAAGATTGTTGGAAGCCGAAAATGGCAGTGGCGATTTGTATCCAAAATCCTGTGCCATACAGGGCACAGCTTTCTCGGTGAAAATCGCATTCCAGCTAATCAGCTAGTCGACATCCTGACCCTGCTTGATCTCACACATGACGCATTGGCCGTTGTAGCGCAACTTCTCAGGGAGCCCTGCCAACATCGGATGATCTTTTGACACCTTGTCCAATTTGTCCACCACAAGATCCACCTGCTGTGCCTGAGCGCGATGAGGCGATTGGATATGGCTGGAACGAAGTACATCGACAACGTCGACAACAGCTCATGCTTTCAGCACCTTGGCTCAAAATAATATCAAAGGATCGGACTCCATTTTCATGCTTTGAGTCTAGGTACCATGAGGTGAGCGCACATGATCGCGCAAGCCATCTCAAACTGCCAATAGGGGCCATCTTTTTCTGAGTCAGCATAAAAAGAGAAGCACCAGGACGTGTCTTTCCCATCGGCTGTGATGTCCTTGGGAGCCTTCGTGATACAACTTTGCCTACTGTAGTAGGGGTCGATGGTGCAATGCAACATCTGAAAATTCAAAAGGTATTTCACTTTCTTCTTGAATTGGTTGCCCGCATCCTCAGTAGTGAATTTGTAAACATAATCCTGGATTGCCTCATACAACTCTTGATCGTAAAGTTTGTCATCGTCTTCCCACTGGCTGGTCTTGCGCCGGATACGTTTCTTGGGTGGCTCAACATTGTCGCTAGCTGCTGGCTTCTTACAACCTGGCTTGGCCTTGGCCTTGCCACCTTTCGGGGAAGTTGCCGCCTTCGATTTTGCCTTAGCCTTTGCTGTGGGGGCTGCGGTTGCTGCAGTTCCTTCATCACCTACCTCACCTTCTTCTGAGTCCTGCTTTTTCTTTTTGGCTGATCGCAAAAGCTTTCGAGCCTTTGCACCCGGCTTTGCTGTCGGCTTGTCAAGAGCAGAGGTGGTCTTTTTCTTTCCCTTTCCCTTTCTAGATTTTGACTTTGGCTTCGGCTTGCTGCTGTCGCCCTTTTTGTTCTTCTTTTCTTTCTTGTTCCTAAGTTGATCTTCTCGTCTCAAAACTTCTCTGTCCTCAGCGTCAGCGTCAACTCCCGGAGCCATCGCTGTGGATGCCTCCTGGTATGCAGCAGGTTTTCAACACATCGATTTAAATATTTTTTGGAAACAAACAGGCATAGTTCAACATAGGGATACATTGGGCAGTTAATGCGTAGAAAGTGAGACGGCTCCTGGGCAGGCACAGCTTGGAGAGAAGCTTGAGGCGCTTGGACACTCTCAGGCGTGGATTGGACACCAGGCAACTCAGCAGTCTCAGTATGAAGGCTTTTTACTTGAAACTTCTTTCGTTTCTCTTCGCTCGTTTCTGATGACATGTGTTTCTGGGAACGGTCGGGGGGCACTGGCAATACCATAACATCCACCGGCTGGGTCTCAGTAAAGTCCCCGGCGGGAGCACCAACCGATGAAGATCCTCCCATGGAAATCGTGTTGATGGTCATGTTTGAAGGTTTGAGACAAGAAACCAACAACCAAATTCAAATGCTACAAATGAAGGGGCCTGTGACTTCTTCCTTTTCCAATTCCTTTTTCTTCTCGCGGATCCTGAGTCTCTATCCCTACAAGCTGAATACTTGATAGCATGATGGAACTTGGTTGACTTGAGTATTGGACTGGTTCAGCAAATCGTTGGCAGCTGCCAAGCGCTTGGACACATCACCTGCCAAGATACTGAATGGCTTACTAGGTCATACACACTCTCATGTTGGACAAAACCCAGTGCCAGGCCTGAAGAACCTGGAGGAACCTCTTCGGCTGGCAAGGACTCGCTGGGTTTGGGCGTAGCGGCAGGCGGGGGAGTAGCTGCCGCAGGCACACTAGCCGGGGCAGCGGGAGGTTTAGTTCCCGGATCATACTCATCCTCATCTTCATCTTGTTCCTAGATTGCACATAAGACACATGGGTGCCAGAAGTGATAGTATGAGGTGAATGGAAAACTGACTGGAAGACTTATGTCCTCTTCCTCATTCTTGGGCTTCCGGGAGTTCACTTCCGTTACAACCTCCTGGGCAAAAGTTCATGCATCTAAAGCTTTAGTTGCTTTGATCTTCAAATTTCCGATATCTTATTTTATCGCCATAAGGTTATAATTTATTATATCGCCATAAGGTTATGGTTTTTCGATTCTGCTTCAATGTCCAAATTCATGTAGTTATTATATCCGATGACATGGTTCAATGTAAAAAACGAGACAGCATGCATATGTCCTCCAGGTGCGGTGCCAGAGTCAGAACTAGCGCTTGGAAAGTATCATCCTTAACAGGCGGCAGCCCACCAATCAACAGAAAATGAAAATGACCACCGAATTCCGATTTTACTGTCCCTTTAGGTCGCTCCAGTCCCGAAAGTGTATCTTTGTGGATGGGGTGCCATTAACTTGTTGTTTTTAATTGGCCAAGGTTCTAGGCTGACCTCAACTCGCCGGCACTTCATTTTCACGAATGTGCAAAGCTTTCGAATGATCCAGCCATCGGATTCGATATCGGCCGCTGGTCGGTTTTGCTTGTTCTTCACATAGAGCTTCTGAATCTCTTCGCGCAAAGTCTCTACTTCTGGCAACTTGTTGGAGTGGAGCTCCATCCGGGCCAAGACTGGCTTCAAGACCTCATTGATTGCAACTGCAGACTGGATACCTTCGGTGCTCGTCCCCTCTGGCACCAATTGGTGGCCATCTCTCAGTTTATCACGGATCACCTCAATCTTGTCCCACTCATCAGACAAGCCATCACACACAGGATCGGGTGCAGACTTAGCAAGACTGCCGGAACTCATTTTGCCAAACAGGCACGGTTTGACCCCAAATGGCTCTAAGAAAATGGTTTTCACCCAGCAACCTGATGCGCAGGAGCAAAGCAGCTGCTGACTGGGGAGCCCTGCCAAAGCCGAATGAAAATGGCCACCGCATACCGTCGGGCCGGTGTGGTTTGATACTTTCGGAAATTCTTATGCTTTTGGAATGAATGTGGCCAACCGTGGGGCACTTCTGAATCTTGAACATCACAATTCCACCAATTTTGTGATTTGGTGTCTTCCTGATCTGCTGTTTCTTTCATAGAGCCTCCTGTGATGGACCAATTCATCGATGTCATCCGATTTCCAGGAAAACCGGGTTTTCGGAAGCAAAACCGGGTTATCGGTATGTCAAGCCCGGAAAACCGGGTTTTCCAGACAAACCCTACTTTTTTCCAGGGTTTAGTAGGTCAAGGTATGTTTGTATGGATGTAAGATGATGTAAGATTATGCACTGTGAATATAACTGAAGATCATCTCCAAGCGTCCGCAGCCACGGTGGCGGAGGCAGCGATGTCCATTTCTTCCTGGGGCTCCGAATCCCATTGGTTGATGGTAATGGTCTACCCTTTTTATGACTGGGGGATCCACCATTGAAACATCCATCGGTTGGGGGAACGAAAATCCAGATACACCCTGAGACCTCGCCATGTTACTGAGCCCTCGGAGGCTTCTGCATCGCCCTCGCTGCGCTTCTGATGCTCTCGCGCGGCGCGGTCCAGGCGGTTCAGGGCCTTGTTCCGAACGCGGGTGTACATCATGTGCCTCGCAGGACACGCAAAGGGCCACCCAGACATTCCCGAAAATCCATGGAGATACAAAACGGAAGGAATCCCCGTCCTATCAAACACTGGATTTGTTTTGGAGCTCAAACTAACTCAATAATGAAGAGAGTCAACACTGGTTAATGGACTCAGTATGAATAAGTTAAGCGTATCAAATCCTGGGTTTCCATGGGTTTCCAGAAGTCTGATGAACCTGGCCCATCCTCGTGCCCCTTCCTGCCCCTTCCGCGCCTTCCTAGGTAGAGCCCACCACCCAGGCCGAGGACACAGCAAAGGCCAATGCAAAAGCCTGCAATCATCGCCCAGGTTTGCATTTCCTGCAGGGACCAGGAATCACAGGGGATCACTCGTCCAGAAGTCCAGTGCAATCGCAGTTTCCAATGCCAGTGTTAAACTACCTTGAACCGACTTCTGGACGATTTGGCTTGAGCCATTGATATAGTATAATTCTACGGTATTCCACGGCTAGTCAGCGTTCTCACCCGCCTTGGATCATCTATGCATAGTTCCACCATGTCCCACCCATTTCCACCCAATTACTTTTGATCACGACTTTTTGCGTCTTTCCTCTTGATCAAAGTGACCAAATACAGACGAGTCTATCACTTTTTTGGGCCAGCAATTGCCACAAATACTGAGATACTCTCAGCTGCTCATCTGCAGGTGTCCTCTTCATTGACAGTACTCCCGCTGCTGCCAGTGTTACCCGAGTTGGGCGTGTAGCCTTCCGCACAGTACCCAGCGTCATAGGTGCAGCCCGTTGCGCAGCAGCACAGCCGCTGGAAGGTGGCGTTGAGTTCCGCATCACATGACCTTGGCGGGGGTTGTTCACAGTGACGGCAGAATGGGGAAGCAAACCAAAGACTAAAGGGCCACAAAGGTCAGTTGATCATTTTGAGCCGTAGAGCATCTTAAAGCATCTAATTTTGGGGTCCAAATTCGTAATGAACCCCACTGGCCCTGCCCGAGCAGGTTCCTCCGAAAACCCTTAATCTCCAGTGCAAACCAGAAGGCGTCTGCCCATTGGAACCTTGGAGTTGCGAGGATGGAGGAAGTGATCATGGCTGATGTCCATTTCAGCTCTAAGAATTCCAAGAGCCCAAGAACGTTGCAGCCTGTGGGTCCGAACACCTTCTTGGAAACACTTCGATTTCGATTTGATCTCTCCGTGGGAAAGTGAATACCAATAAAGTAGGTGCCGAGAGGAGCTTACAAGTGCAGATCCAATGAAAATCCTTGGACATCTACCAGCAAAAAGTGATGCCTAATCCGATTGATATTCATCTATGTCCGTTTCAGCTTTTCAAATTACTTTCAACTTTTCACATTGATATCCTCTGATATCACCTTTATAGATGCACAAGTCAAGATATCACAAGATATCAATGATCTCAGGACCCCTGGGCCGAACAACTCACCCCGCATCGCCGCCGAAGAACTCACGATGCACTCAGAGTCAAAGACCGGAGCGGAGCCCTCGACCAGCTGCATGAAATTCGCTGTGCAGGTCTTGGCGTCTCCTTTCTTGTGGGGCGTGGCTTTGATAACATGGATGAAGTGTTTTGGAGAAGGCGCTTGCTGTGGTGACCTTCACATAAATTTATATATTTTGATATCTTTGACCAGAAACAAGGGATGATTTTAACGTGGTTTGATTGGTTCCTTCACGTTTGAAGGTTTGATCCGCAAAAATGGGTTGCATATATATATATATACACCGTACATACACATATGATTGCGATTCAGTGATGCTTTTACCATATTTTACCAGCTAAAAATATACAAAATCAACTGATTTTTTAGCAGCGAACATTGGGATTTGACCAGCTGAGGCCATGGGGCGGTTGGATCTCCACTGAGTGGCTTCACATTCGTCGATCAGCAATGACTCAGGACGGACCAAGATATATCAAGATCTGGCACTATGGGTGTGTGTGAAAACCTCGTATACTATCAATTTGAGTGGCTTGAACATCTATTCAACATCTATTCAACCAGCTATTTTTGTTGCTTCCAGCCGGTACCAGGCTTTTGACCCCCTTCATCATCTTCATCATTAGGAATACCCTCCCTGAATTTAACATAGCTATTGAAAATGGCCATTTATAGTGGATTTACCCATTAAAAATGGTGATTTTCCATAGTTATGTTAGTTTACCAGAGGGTATCACGGATGGTCAACCGGTGACCAATAAGGTCAACCGGTGACCCACGGTGACTCTTCACGAGGACCGCGCCTGTACTACTCCAGACTGAGTTGAGCAATCTCCACACGGTGCTGCTATCCGTGCACGCTGCCATCACTGCTTGCATGGGGGCCGCATCACCTTGTCAGACCGCTAAGCGTGGTGTATTTTTCCAATGGCATTCATAGGGGATCAAATCGTCAGGGGAAGAAATATCAGAACAGTGTATAACAATATAACAACATGTTTATTATAAGAATATGCCAGTTTTGACTAGTTCTAGGGTTTCATGATGTTTCATGATGTTTTTCATGATGTGTTGCATTGCTTCTTACAATTATCATAGCTGTAATAGCCCGGCCCACGGCTGGCCACTTAAAAAAAATACCGCTGGGGCACAGCTGTCGCCGGTGCGATTGCAGGCTGCGGTGCATGACTCACCGGCTTGTCCTTGGCCGTGGAGAAGTGCCATGGTCAAGTTACATAGGATGAAGGTATGGCATCTTAACCTACAAAATGGATCATGAATGAATATTATTCCTGAAAAATTGGATTTCCTGGAACGAATGATGATCAGTAACTACTCTATCTACTCTTCAGTAATCGAACATGGCTAGCTGGGAAATCCCCCAAAAATGGACGTTTATAGCTGGGAAAGTCATCAGGGATTTCCCCTTCACAGGTTTGACTACCAGAGGGACTTTGCCATGGCCGTCCCCCAATGGGAATCCAAAGATCATGCGCAAAGGATACCTTGTGAAATAGAGTGATCACCATCCCCCAACATCGGCATTTTATCCCAAGGTTGGCTCACCTCATGGCACATAGTCTGAAAATCTGGCAAAAAAAACCCTCGAAAACTCGAAATCCTCTACGTTCTTATGGGTTTATCGTCATGGTCATGTTCCCATTGAAGCGGGTGTCTACTGTCTTTCGGACAAGCCCGTGTTCCAAGCCGGGCTGACTTTTGTTTAAACTGTACTATAACATACTATAACAACGCAAAGTAGTATAAACATGCTCGGCTCAAATTCGACATCCTCAAGCCAGGTATAATCCTGGGCCTGGCATGGAGGTGCTTCCTTAATCGAATGCAGCATCCCTTTCCCCCAAAAAAATAAAAAAGATAAATGCAGTTGAACTACCCTCTGGTAATTTAACATAGCTATTGAAAATGGCCATTTATAGTGGATTTTCCCATATAAAATGGTGATTTTCCATAGCTATGTCAAATTACCAGAGGGTAATTAAACATTGATAAATAACATGAAGAAATTGATGTAAACTGATATGTACAAACATATCCAAGCACCTTCATGCACCTTCCGTGTTTTCCCCCACTGTCAGGGTTGGTGCCAGGACCTCATCACGGGTCAAAATCGGAGCCGAGTTATCCGAGTTCAAAGCCTTGTAATCTGATGATGGGGTTCACCGTTTTTTGAACCATACCCAGGATATCCCAGGATATTCTTCCATGTCAACATACCCTTTTGGGGGGCATGGCTTTGCGCTATTTATATTTATATGATCATGGCCAATTGCAAGTGATGTTGAAGCCTTCAAAATGCGGAATTTCAAGGACCCCGATTACAGTCACCACCAAGATGATGATACCTTGCTCGAGTATTTTGAGCACTCACAGCTTCACGAAAAAACCACGGCATTTTTCGGGAGCCACTCCCATTCCTTCCGGATCGGCAATCGCCAAGGCTCCAGTGATCCATGCAGCCTCACAGGTCAGCAGCAGGCAGCTTGGAAATGCGAATGCTACACGTCTCATGTCGCGGTGCGCGACGGGTGTCACCGACGTCTCTGGAGCCACGATGTTGCCGGGTCAGGTCATTGGGGAGTCATTGGGGAGTGGATACCCTCTGGTAAACTAACATAGCTATGGAAAATCACCATTTTATATGGGAAAATCCACTATAAATGGCCATTTTCAATAGTTACGTTAATTTACCGGAGGGTATGGTTGGACCAATCATCAAATTGGAATCTTTTCAGCAACAGCATGAGATTGATCAACTGGTCCGCTGCCCACAATCGAATGTGATCAATGACTTCAAATATCAAAAAAATCATCTGGAGTCGCTGAAACACGGCTTCTTACTGTTTTGGGTCAAAACATGTTGACACACCCATACACAGCTGTTGGGCTGCAGCCCGGACAAAGTGTACCAGCAAGAAAACGGGACCATCAGAGCAATGGTTTGGATCCAAAAAGATTGCCTTTCATGATGTCATCTGCTGGTTTTTACCATGGGCCTATATCATCCTATATCTACAGTCTATATATTATATAATTATCCACAGTCTATAGAATCATCTATCTACCTCTCTAGTATCTACTCTACAGATTCACGGTAAGACACCCAATCCCAGACTTTCCCACATCGAAGTTTGGCTTAGCATTTAAAGAAATGCAAAGGCAAACTGGCATTTGCGTTAAAAACGGAGTTTACCAATGAAGTACTAAGTTTAACCATGGTCTATTTTTTTTGCAGCCAACTGTGCGTCCTGGGCTCTGGGATTGGTTGCTTTGGGTCGCTGTACTTTGCAGGATTGGTCAAAGCTCAGGGATCAAAAAACGACTACAAGAAAACATAGGGCTTGCGTCGAGCGCTGGGATCAACTTAGGGGTTCAGAATAGTTTTTTTTTTTTTGCTCTCTCTCCTGGTACCATTTGCATCCATTTGCCTTGTATTTGCAACAGTTTGGAACTAGAATCTGTTGTTTTGCATGGTTTTTGCTACATTGGGCAATGTTTGCCTTCCATTTTGCATGCTATTTGCAACGTTTTGGCACTTCAACCTCTCATTTGCATGGTATTTGCTACATTTTGGTACTTCAAACGTTCATGTGGGTTTCTTGAGAGTTTCTTTAGGCTTTCATTTAGGGTTTCATTTAGGGTTTCATTTAGGGCTTCTTTAGGGTTTCTTTCGGGTTTCATTTAGGGTTTAATTTAAAGTTTCTTTAGGGTTTCTTTCGGGTTTCATTTAAGGTTTCTTTGGGTTTGTTTAGGGTTTGTTTAGGGTTTCTTTAGAGTTTCATTTACAGTATATAGGGTTTCTTCAGGGTTTAATGTAGGGTCTCCTATCAGCATTTCTCATCACAATTTCCAAACGACCATATCGGTTTCTTTAGGGCCTCTATAGGGTTTCATTTAGGGCTTCTTTAGAGTTTCATTTAGAGTTTCTTTAGGGTTTCATTTAGTGTTTCTTTAGGGTTTCAGTGAGGGTTTTATGTGGGGTTTCTTTGGGGTTTCATGTAGGGTCTCTTATCAGGAGCTTCAAAGGTATATGTGGGTTTCTTTGGGGTTTCATTTAGTGTTTCTTTATGGTTTCATTTGCAGTTTCTTCAGGATTTCATTAAGGGTTTCATTTAGGGTTTCTGTAGGGTTTCATTTAGGGTTTCTTTAGGGTTTCATTTAGGGTTTCATTTAGGGTGTCATTTAAGGTTTCATTTAGGGTTTCTTTAGGGTTTCTTTAGGTTTAGGGTCTCTCTAGAGTTTCATTTGGAGCTTCTTTAGGGTTTCATGTAGGTTTTCTTATCAGGATTTCTTATCAGGATTTTCGAACGTTCATGTGGGTTTCTTTAAGGCTTTTTTAGGGTTTCATTTAGGGTTTCTTTATGGTTTCATTTAGGGTTTCATTTAGGGTTTCTTTAGGGTTTCATTTAGGGTTTCTTTAGGGTTTCAATTTAGGGTGTCTTTAGGGTTTCATTTAGGGTTTCTTTAGGGTTTCTGTAGGGTTTCATGCAGAGTTTCATTCAGGGTTTCTTCAGGGTTTCATGTAGGGTTTCATTTAAGGTTTCTTTAGGTTGGGGTTTCTCTAGAGTTTCATTTGGGGTTTCTTCAGGGTTTCATGTCGGGTGTCTTATCCGGATTTCTTATCAGGATTTTCAAACGTTCATGTGGGTTTCATTTAGGGTTACATTTAGGGTTTCTTTGGGGGTTCATTTAGGGTTCATTTAGGGTTTCATTTGGGGTTTCATTTAGGGTTTCATTTAGGGTTTCATTTATGGTTTCTTTAGGGTTAAGCTATGGTTTTTTTCAGGGTTCATTTAGGGTTTCATGCGGGGTTTCTTATCAGGAGTTCTTACCAGGATGTCTTTAGGGGTTCTTTGGGTTTCACCTAGGGTCTTTAGGGTTTCATTTATTTCATTTAGGATACAAAAAGGAGAGAATAAAGCAACATGAAAGAGAAAAACAAGAGGCAGTAAAGATAGAGGAGCAGGAAGTAGAGCAGCAAAAACACATGACTGAAGAAAAGAAAATGTAGAATAGTAAAGTAGAAAGGCACAGAAGCACAAAAGCAGAAAAACAGAGAAGCAGGGAAAGCAAAGAAGCAGAAAAGAAACAGAAAGGTTTGTTGCCAGCGCTGAAATCACCAATTGTTTGTATATATTCATTTTTTGTCGATATATTACATGATCTTATGTTTTTTGTTGTCCATGCACAAGCCTCTTCTATTAGAAATGCAAACAGGCGTGTTGTAGGCGCGCAAAAGGCAATTTGTTTCCCCAAATACATTACATTATCTAAAACCATATTGGCCTTTTGCTGTCCATGCACAAGCCTTTTATAGTGGAAATAGGGCCTAGAGTGGTTAATCACCCAAAACCAAAAAAAACAAAAATAACAAAAAAAAAATGGGGACTACTTGGATCTAGGCATGTTCAGACTAGTCTGGAAAACATGTTTTTGTTTTGTTGTTTTTTTTGGTTTCTTTGGGTTTTTGATTCCTTAGGATTAATCCAGACTAATCCAAACCAAATCTGATTCATCTTGCCCCCAAGGCATTCTTGTGAAGTCATTACTTTAAAAAATACATGCTAAACATGCGCAGTATTCCTTGGGGATGTGCAATTTTCATTTTCAGGTGTGAAGCCTTTGGGGATGTAAAATTTTGTTTTGGAGAAGGAAACCGTTCCTTCAAATAAATGTTGTTCCTGTCCCAGCTAGCTGAACTTGTCCACTGCAATTTTGCATTTTATATTACATATATATAATTTATATATATATTCTGCTGCAGCTAATGCTTCAAAGTGGAGATATAGTGGAATTTCTTCTTGGAATTTGCCATATTTTGAACCTAATGACTACCATTGTATTCTAAAGGAGTGCATTTTACAGCTGAATATGTGTTTTTTCTGGGTCAGGCCTTTTAAACATCCTGTTTGATTATGACCATTTCCCAAAGGATACAAGAACATGATGAAAGCCTACTTCTCAAAAGAAAAGAACCAGGTAAAGCAGAGAAGCATGAAAAGCAGAGAAGCAGGAAAAGCAAAAAGCAGGAAAAGCAAAAAGCACGAAAGCAGAGAAGCAGAAAAGCAGAGAAGCAGAAAAGCAGGAAAGCATAGAACCAGGAACCCCCCCCAAAAAAACAACAACAAATAAATAGCCCTCCTAAACTTAGTTCTTCACGGGTAAACTTAGTAATTATCTTATTTCAGGCAACTTCGCGCGAACATGTTTTGGGGGCACCATCTAGGATCCGTTTATATTCAGGGATTTTATCAAAATCTATGTCAGCTCTTCCAGCCAATACACTGCTGCGCATGAGTCGTCCAGCAGTACATTCCCGCAAAAAAACAGATTTAAAAAGATGATGCCAGGACGAGATTAGGGGGCCCACCATGGTGAAACTGCGTAGTTCCGTATGTCGAAGTGAAGTTGTCCGCCGCAATTTGTAGCGGGCGGCTGGGAAAGCACCCAGCACTAAAGTGAAACATCTCCAGTTGGGGCATCACCCACGTCATCATGGTCCTGCAAGCAAGTCCAGTGCACGGCTTTAAAACATCTTGAACACATGCTCAATCATGCTCAATCTGCTTTTTCGTCGGCTTACCTGGTGGTTTCGCACAAGGGTAATGCAACTGCCTCCGAATAAATTTGCCGGATTCCGTGCTTCCAGATCTGAGATTTCATCCCCACAATCCTTCCAATCTCGCCCCAATCATAGACACACCCAAACAAAATGATGGCTTAGTAGTACGGTTTAGCGTTGGATCCCTTCATTTCGGGATCATTCAGGGGATGTCGGCTATGATCACGAGATATCACAAGCTTCGCCCGCATTGAACCTGATTTCTTTGGTCCCACCGGTCCCATGTTCAAGTCAGTTAAAATCCATGACATACCCATTTTAATTTACCTACCCTCTGGTAATTTAACATAGCTATTGAAAATGGCCATATATAGTGGATTTTCCCATTGAAAATGGTGATTTTCCATAGTTATGTTAGTTTACCAGAGGGTAAACCACCCAGAAGAACCATGAAAAAATAGGTGATCAACCCCCAGACCTCTGTCACCTTGCCACTGGACCAATCGCAGCCGTACGGGCAGGGCATGCCGTGGCGATGGGGCCATGGAGTTCTCCTGCGGCTCTTGGCGGATCATCGGATCAATCACCAGTAAGTCTCAGTAAGTTCCACCCAAGATGTCCCAATATTTCACCTCTCCTAGGTTTAGATCAGAAAAATACCCTGGAACCTCAAAAATGAAGCAGATCCAGTCACTGGAACCATGGAACCATCCCACCAGGTGAGTTGTGTTTTTTTTCCTTGCTAAACTGCAATACACAAATTAGGACACCTACGCGGGGCCTACGCAAACCACTCCTCCCAAGCAAAACTGCCTACGCGAGGGTTACCTTTCAAGAAGTGCCTACGCGGTTGCCTCCGCGAAAGTTGCTGCAACGATCTCTTTACTTGACGTGATGTGATCACAATTCTGGTCCAGAAGAGGAATAGAAAGAATTGGAAGATGACGATTCTTTGGGTGACTTGTGAAAGGAAGGCTAGGGCCTTCGCGTTTCCTACGCGAGGGCCTACGCGGAGCCTACGCGAAAATCCGAACCGAAAATGGCTGTTCGAAAACTTGGCACTTGGAATTTTCTGAAAAAGCGGTTGTTTCTTTAATCTCCCCTTTCTTCCAGCTAAACATATGAACCATACAATCCAGTTTGCATTTAAAATCATTGTAAGCCACGAAGAAAAACAAGAGTTCGAGGTCAGAAACAAACAATCTATAGAACATCTAAACAAGTGCCTACGCGAGACTGCCTACGCAGCCTCTCCTACATTATCCTACGTATATGCCTACGCGAAACCTACGCACCAAGCAGAATAGCCTACGCATGAATGATGTGAGTTCCTCCTCAATCTAAATTCCATCATCTGGAAAAAAAACGTTGCTCAGGTGGTGATTTCCGGCTCCAGCTGGGTCAACTCCAAATCAACCAGCGCCCAAGGAACTTCCACCCGGGACCAGGCAGCCTGGACGCTGAAAACCCACTTGACAAGGAAATATCACTGTAGTCATGTGAATATACCTCAAATCGGGGGAATGTAATCATATAATATATATATATGTATATATATATATATTATATAATCATATATTCATACATATAATTATATAATGTATATGTGAAATCCAGACATCACCGACCATTTAAGTGGCATGATGCAACATCGAGGACCAAATGCAAAAAAGAAAAAGCTGACTTTGGATGACTTTGGGCGCTACACTGTAGTTTTCGCCAGCGTGGCTTTCAATTCTGGGCCTCTCGCAGTAGCGATGTCGCCGGTGCCACAAGTGCTTTGACCGTGGCAAGGTCTCATTATCTTGATCAAAATTTTACTTAATGGGAAGCTGGCCACTGTGCGTTACAGTAATAGTTTTTACACAAACAAGATTCAACAACCATGACCTCCGCTTGAGACAGACTAAAATAGCTTGAAAAACTGCACAGCAGAAGGCATGCCCAACTATAAATGTCTCTTCTGAGATTGGTGGAAATAATCCGAGCCTGGTGTCTTATGTCACCAGCTGACGCGAGCCCCTTCATCATGCACCACACCAACTGCAGCACTTGGCACTTTGGTGTTGGAGCCGTTTCAGCCCGAGTGATGTGCAGGGGTTTATCCGGGTCCGAAAGCTCATTTCAGCAGCTTGGGCTCGCACTTCCCGTTCTGGCAGCAGTGACGGAACGAAAGCGTTTCGGGGTTTGGGTTGAAGCTTGGAGGTGTAACCCTGATACCCTGCAGGGCCCTGCAGCATCGGGTTTACCTAAAAAAATAGCCAGAGTATGCCAGAGTCTCATACAGTGGCAAATCATCTCCAAACGGATCAGGTTGGCGAGATCCATTCGCTATGGTTAGATCCCAATAACACCCCAATACTTTGGGGTGGCAGCTCGTGTCCCCGCCTTCTGACAATAACCTTCCCGACATTGGCATTTCCCATCGATGCAAGAGGTAGGACCTGGCCAAACTTGGGGGAGAAATTAAAGCCTCTAGCCGCCTAGCCAGCAGTCCCCATCCGGCTGAGATATTTGTGAGATGCCATATTTCAATGATTGGATCGTCTTAATGACTTCCAAATTTACTTAACCATTTTTTTTTAATCAATCTGGAGTTTCTCTTCTAATTCAGTTCATCTACGCTCTCAACTTTCACCATGCTCCCCATGCCCAACCCTTGCAATGGCCCGTTCTACCCGTCCTCTGCCGTGCCAACACCAGAGGTATTTGCAGGTGCCGCCTGTGTCCACCTCGCAGTCCTTGCAGCTGGGGCACCATAGGGATGGGAATCATTGATCTATTGAGATAAGTTTCATCATCATACTAATATATCATGATGTATCGTGAAATATCAATGAATAATTGGATATCATATAATTATAATATATATATAATATTACTCTATAATATATATATATAGTATATTATATATATTATATTATATATATCACATCATATATATATATATATTATATATATATATTATATTATATTATATATATATATATTATATATTATATATATATAGTATATTATATATATTACATCATATATATATATATATATATATTATATTATATATTTTATAAATTATACATATATATATATGTTGTATTATATGTATATATGGTATAATATATATATATATGTATATATTATATAAATAAATATCTAATTATATTATATAATATATGTATATAATTGATTGAAACGCACTGGCAAACTAAGCGGTGGAAATGGTTCTTTTGAAGCCCGCACTAAGGGTTCGAAATGGCTCATAATCGTGTGACACTTGTTTGAAGCCACCATATAGATGTATAATTGTTGACGATGCTTTATCTAAATGCCCCATTGACACCACTAATCAGGCTGCAAGTGCTCCTGATCAGCACTGCTCCCCAGGTCAGAATTCATCACCCGAGGAGGCATGCAGTAGCCATCCTGGCAAACCAAGGCTCCATTTCTCAACCCAATCCCCCTAGATCCCCCTAGATCCCCCTGGATCCCCCTAGTAGGTCCTAGTAATAGACCTACACACCAGAAATCCTCTTTAGGTGTTGGATCTGTCGTCCCATAGAGCTGGCGATTCTCAGCTTGACAGCTGAAGATTTTCAGCTGAAGCCGGGCCTCTGCACATAGCCCTGGTTTGCAATAGCATTTGCCGCCGGAACACATCGTCGGGCCTGAGGCCCGGTAAGAATGAATCGGACAAGTCCCGACACTGTGACACTGCAAGACCCCGGCCCCACAGAAAAATTCTAAACGATATCATCACTGAGGTAAGAGAATTGGTTTGATTGATGTAAAAAAAAATGTCTAAGCTTTTTATTGGTGATACACAGCCCAAAAATGCAGCATGGAACTCAGAATCGACCACAGTCACCCATCGAAATCATGACCCTCGCCCCTCTCCCCTTTTTTTGAGCCCACCGTCCAAGAGCCTCGAGTTCGGCTGCACAAAAAAATGCGGCAAGTACCGCCGGTGTCATCTGTAGGGCACAGCCCGCCTTGATTGCAGGAGTGCCCGAGGACCCCCCTCTGGATCAGTTACTGGATCAGTTCGAGGGCTTAGAAGCAAAGCATGCGAATGTGTCACATGACTGGGTGCAAACTGGCAGCGTACTAAATGAAATGGCTAATCACACCAGAAGAAGAAATAAAAATAGCCTGTGTGAACTGAAACACCCCAGCTGCGGTTTGACACTGGTCTAAAGTTTCAATACATTGACCTCTAAGTACCAGTATGATCAACATGTCCTGATATGGCAAGGTTTAGCATAAGCGTAAGTGGAAAATCTGTGGTTCCCAGATGTTCCCAGGCACCAGATGCCCCAAATGCGCCAAGCAGCCCTTTGAGTTACCAGAGTTAGGTTTCTTGTGCACCTTCGAAGGCGTCTTGCCGCAGGTGTAGCCTGGGCCAAGCGCGTTTTTTTCGCCAGCGTGCGGTAGTTGCATCCTCCACAAGGGTCACCAAAAGGATAGGCAGGCTGTTTTATTTTCCTATATACAAAATATTTTCTATCATATCTATGTTTTGATGGGGTTTAATTAATCGTTTAACTTTCAGATCGTTTCTGGGACCCTGTTGTTGTTTTTGTCATGTCATTTGCGAACGAATCATGGCAAATCCAGAAATACATCGACACCCCACATGCATTGCAGATCATTGCGTCGACTTTTTGGAGCGCTGCACAACGCGACCCGAGTAGCAAATGCTTCCCGTCTGCGTCTGCTCCTCTCTCTTTACCAAGCCTGGTAGGTCATGACAGGTTATCACAGGTTGTGATTATGGATGGGTTGCGGATGACTGGACAACGACACCCTTTGAAAGAACTGATTGACAAACAGAATCCCGCTGACAGGTTATCACAGGTTGTGATTATGGATGGGTTGCGGATGACTGGACAACGACACCCTTTGAAAGAACTGATTGACAAACAGAATCCTTGTGTGTAAATTTGTAAATCTCCATGAATATATATATATATACATGTATATATATATATAGATATGTCAGTATGTATGTATGTGTGTGTGTGCATGCTAGTAGAGACAAACAAGTATGGCGATATATGAGCAACGGATGTTGCTTGAGGTTACTGCAGAAATTCTTCCTATCCGTTGTTCATATCATTCATATCTGTTCCAAGTCTATTCCACTACCCACTGGACACGTGTGTCTCTTGTAGCAGGTCCTGAAGAACAGGAACAGGTCTTATCAAAAGAACATCTTGGCAAAGATGGACAGGCAGGAGTATGAGCATTGGGCTGAATATCCTCGGCTGATCATCGGATGGTCTGGATGGCTGTTTTTTGATGGCTGTCTGGCCATTTCTTCAGCAAGAATTTGATGATCGAAGAGCTGCCCAACCCTAACCAAAGCACCAAACCACTCTGCTTCAATCTATGGGCTATGGGCCTGCGCAGCCGGCAACTGGCAATCGTTTTAGCCCAGAAATTGGCTAGGTGCTCGCCCCCAAACGACCTAGAAACTGTACATCACATCATAACACATCAGTCCCTGTGCCGTCCTGATCCTGTGCTTTCAAGGTCCAAGATGTTGCAGGGACGTCACCACGGCACCAGGGCACAAAAGGGCTTCCACCAATCCGATCTGCCAAGGATCATTCACGAAGAAACAAAAGTTGTCCGCATTCTTCAGCGCCTGCAGGTCCCCAAGGCTAAAAAACATACTGCCCATATCTCCCCATACTCCCACGTGTTCGACCAGGATGGATCAGGTGTGATCCATGATCATCATTGATCATCCATGTCAATATTGTCAGTGAGGTTTATGACATTTTATGACTCTTATTCTCCTCTTCCCAAGGGGAAAACGGTGATCTTCGCCTTGCTAGGCTCAGTGTTGGCCAACCCAAGGCATGCAACGCGCCTCGATGCAGTGCCGTTGCGGGGTTTTTTTCCGCCAGGGAGTGGTAACAAGGAATCTGCACATGGATATGATGTGTTTAATGGAAACAGATGGGGGATTATCATCTGTTTTCATGGTGGGTCTCCAGCCATGTTGCTTTCTCGAAGGGATCCAGAATCCAGAGGGTAACCAGAAAACCACACAGGAAAATGCATTTGTTTTCGAGCCATTGGTCCGAAATTTCAAGATTTTTTCCTCTCTACTCAATATTAACGCCCAAAGAAACAACAGAAACAAAACAGAGTGCACTTAAGGTCCACTCGTATAGCAATACCAGCGGATCACCAGTGGATCTTTGCATTGTGTATCTCTGGCCACGGATCAAGGACGCCATGACGGCAGCTAAGGGACCCATAGGCTTTCAGACAATCTGGGGGCTCGCCCTTGTAGCAAACATCATCCGTCAATGACATCCTGGGCAGCTGAAGAGGTGTGGGGTCAGGACTGGGCCGAAAAAAACCAGGGAATTCCTTCCTTCTCAAAACATCTCAAAACCGTCACCCTTACCTATCTTACAAAAGCAGCAGAAAAAACCATGAAAAATCCGTGAAATCGTCTTGCTTCCTCCTTTTTCAGGTATCGCCGCATCGCGAGAAAAAAAGTACCGACAGCTGTGTGCTTCCAAAAAAGGAGAGGGCTGTTTTCCAAAATGGAGAAGGTATAGCCGGTACAGCAATAAAAACAAGATAAAACAAGTCCGTTTCTCTTCAATGGTCTCTGCAAGCCTCCAACACAAAACCTGCCTTTCGGTCAGGGCCGAAGAATCATTGACACTACAATAAATGCAGATAGATGCAGGTATACGGGATGCCATATACCATCATATACCCAATAGATTAAACCAGCAGTGCCAGAAGTTTGCGGAAGGAAATGAACTTCAGATACACTCTGGTAAATTAACATAGACCCTGGCAGTCATCGGGGTTGGAAGATGAGTTTCCATTAAAACATGGGCTATTTTCAGGGTCAACAAGTTAATTCACCAGAGGGTAACTTTAGATGATTTTGGCTTCAACATCCAACGTATCCAACATGAACCCCAGGTCATCTCAGAGCAATTCCTAGGTCCTAGGTCTTTGCCAAGAATCTCGTGGTGCGAGGCTTCATGAGTCAAGGTTTCCAGCTGGGTAGCCATATCAGCTGTCATGTAACTCGGTTGGCGCTGAGCCCACTGCTGCCCAAAGTGAGAAAGCAACATTAATACACATATAATATCATAGAATATTCATCATCATCATAAAAATAATCATCATAATAATCATATATATATAATATTATATAATAATCTAATATATAAATATATATAATAATGATACGGCAAGACCCTGAGGTTTGCCCGGGCTGGCAACGAGCTTCCGGGCAAGCCAAGATGACGATGATGACGATGATGACGATGATGACGATGAGGATGAGGATGAGGATGAGGATGATGATGATGATGATGATGGTGATGATGATGATGATGAGGAGGAGGAGGACGACGACGACGACGGTGATGGTGATGATGGTGATGATGATGATGATGATGATGATGATGATGATGATCTTGATATATTCTTGAAACCCTAAAAGAAATCCTGATGATTGTATGGTTAATTGTTCCATGGGGCCGGGGGATTTTGATATCTTCTTGAAACCCTAATGACTGTATGGTTAATTCCATATGATATGTAGAAGCAACATGTTCTGGTTACGGTATATGATATGTCAAACAACATGCTGGTTAATATCCTAGCAACATAATTGAACACAAAATCCTTCCTGTTGTTTGACGTCGTACAGATTTCCCTGGTAGTTACGCTATTGCAGCTCTTTCACTATAAGACCATGTGGAAGCCTAACAACCCGATTGCATGATGTCGATACACAAGAGGATCATAAAGCCAAATGATGCCAAATGTGCCAGAGTTGAAAGAATGAAGAAGCAGCACATTGAGCGTATCACTGCTGAGCATGCTGCAATGATTCAAACTGTGAAGATCTTAAATAAGATCTTTCATACCATGGATGAGTATGGCCCAGATCTTCAGTTCGATGATTACTTGGACGATGATGCTTGCGGTTTGGAGCAGCCAGCACAACCACCACCTAGGGTGAATTATCTGGCCGATGAGTTGAAGAGATTCTGTGAGACCTGGGCTTTGCAAACCTCGGGGTCTGTGTGTAATAATATGTATGACATATATGATCCAGAAAGGCAATTGAGATCAGCTACTTTGCCCTCATCATCCGCCAATTAGGAGTCCCAACTGACTTTTGCCTGCCTGTTTCTATTCTTAACGGTTCGAGATAAAGACAAAATATATCCAAACACCTACATAGGTGCGCGTCCAAATACCTCGCCTTTTCAGGTGTTTTGCCGACCCCAAACGAACAGGAAAAACAGCACATTTCCCCAGGTGCCACCAAGAAACTCCTCACAAAGGTAAAACAAATACTGTCCACCTTCGTTGAGACCAGGTCCAGGCTTTGAACAATGGGAGCGACACCATTTTTCTACGAGCTCAGTTGCAAATACCAAAATATCCAAAATGCATCAAAATACTAAGGAATGAAATAAGGATTGAAATGTTGATAAATGTTGCACATGGAATCTATGTCAAACAACACAGGCTGGGTCGTAGCTGTCATAGCTCACTACAACCTCCAGGGCTGATCTCTGGCAGCTTGCCCCTGAGGTTGGGACGCTTGTTCCTGAGGCCGTCAACGAATCAGAAATCATGACTTGAGCATGACGTACAACAGACAGTAACCGCTGGCCCGGGTGCCATGAAAAATCTGGTTGAGGTAATTGTGGAGGCTACGTGGCTGTTCGGTCCAAGACACTTGTTGTGGGGCGGGTTTGGGTGCACGTAGGCATAGACATTCGCTTGGCATTGCGGCCCTGGGTACTTGTAGTCCACGTTGGACAGTAAACGGTTCACCTCGAGCTGTACCCTGGGATATTCAATTCAATGTTTCATTGTTTCATTTAGGGTCATGGCATGTCATGTGCAAATACCAAGGCAAAAAGCATTTTAATCTATTTCTACTACTGGCTTTTTTTACGATTCACTGTGCAAATAAGTTTATCGCTCATGATTCTTGTGCCCTCTGCCCGCTCCCTGTGTGGCACAAAACCCCCAACCCTTTTCCCAGCCTGGTTCGCAATGCGCCGAACTTCCTTCTTGGCACTGGTGCTCTTGTCTCCAAACCACAGCATCCTGAAGCCGCCCAGTCAGTGCGAACAAGACTGGCTTCACCCACCACGTCCCCAATATTTGCAGGCAAGGATCATGGTTTCATCTGCCTCAGTTCTGACGAGGGGGAGGTGATGGAGAAGGAGTCCAAGAGTTCATGCCCTGCATGCATGGTAAAGGAAGGGAAGGTAAAGGGAAGGTAAGGCACGGCAAAGCGTAAGGTATTGCATGGCATGGTATAGAATGATATGCCCAGCTGGCCTTGGCGCTCGTGATGGACCGAATGGCGATGGCGGTGTAGGCTTGCCTCGGATGCCGAACGAAGATCCATGAAGGATCTGTGTGCCTGCACAGTTCGGTGTCCCCAATTGAAGACTTGTCATATGTTATCGGTTCATGTATGTTAAGGGTGTTTGAGAATGGGGCATCACCGCATCACCCGCCAAACAATTCTAATGACAATTACATTAATTGCATTCCAAACCATGAGAATTTGGCGGGATGTTCATGGTTTTTCCAACATTGTCAGACAAACCCAGATGTGAACATCAGATAACATCAGTAGCTGCAGGTCTTCACTCCAAGTGACGCTTTCACAGCCATCTTCACCACCTCGTTGGCCCAATCTGACCTCAAAAGCATCAGCTTTTGCATATTTTTGCATGCTTGTCGCATGTGACTTCAGGCTATGATCAACGGGAATTGGGAACTGCTATCCTGGAAGGTCTGATTTCCCCGAGGGTGAACGGAAGATCTATGGCTATCATTCCACACCCGAAAACAAGGCACCCGGAAGTCTCCAAGAGCGAACTGCTAGGGGTTGATGCCTTGGCAATGGACCCCAGCTGCTTCAACGTGTTGATCATGGAGGCAACTTTTATGACTGCATTCCTCTCATCCAGAAAAAATGCATTTTTGTCCCGGTAAATCAGTTTTTATGTCGCAGAATGTGGCAGAGATCACTCTCTGGCAGCTGCATGGAGTTGCATCAACATCAACAACATCATCAACGCAGAGAGATCTGTCAAGATGCCACGATGTTGTTCAACGGATAGATCCGAAACAAGTTGCAGATCGCCTCGGGCCGAGCTGGGCGATCAGGGCTGGTGATCAAACTGATACGGTGACATACAGTGACTATTTCCATAGCCTTTTCATGGCTTTTCCACTCAACGATCACCTGATTCAAGATGAAAACATCAGGGAATGGATGAAAATCAAGAATCATCGCCCAGAAAAGGAAGCATTACGATCCATTACGTGTATGTACATGACACTCCTAACTCCTTTGTTTTTTTTCCACAGCATTTGTGATGATCTCTACCTGATGACAGGTCACAGGTCAGTCATGGTCAGTCATCCCCCCAAATAACAAAGAAACTGCCAAGGAGGTTGGCACAATACTTGCCTTTAAAATTGACATTTAAAAAAACGTCTGTTCTCAGGGACAAAACATGACAAAAGTGTCAAAACTCCGAGTCGCAACAGTCATCTCCCCTGGCTTTAGCGCAGGATAGTTCAACGAGATTAACCTGGGCTGAGCGAAATAATCAACAGCCTCCAGAACCCGTGGAATGTATTGACTTCGTTCATTTTCAGGTTAGGGTTTTATACTAATTATAGGGGGTTTTATGATGTTTTATGAGGTTTACTGATGATTGCCTTTGGTTCCACAATGTTTCTTTCAAGTTGCAGTAGCCACCAACCCTTTTGCAGCTACGAGGCTTCTGCAAGTCGTCCGTGGTATTGATGTGCTCCTGAGCTGTAGCTCTGTCCATGTCTGGTGCTGGGGAGCGCCTTCAAAAAGGCCAGGATGATTTATCAGGCCACCTGGAAATGTGAATGTCAAACAGTTGGTGGCATATGATAGCTATGACTTTGACCACACTGATGTTTGGTAAATCATTGGCATCGGCACAAGCCGTTCGACAGCCAGGCCCGTATTCGATTCTGGTTGGGAGTTGGTGGGGACTGGGTACTGCCTCCATGTAAAGCGACTGGGTATACTGCTTATCAGGATATCGATACCTCTTCAATCTCAAGCGCCCCTAGGCCCTAGCCCCTTTCAAATCCTGACCAGACATCTTCGAGAACAAAATGTGCCTTTCACCACGGACAACCTTAGGTACCCCAAAAAATAGCCGGTCAATAACCATCTCTAGCAACAAAGTAGTACGATACCCATCCCCCTCACCGCCAGGGCGCCGGGTTGTGCAGCACATCTTTCAGCGCCGCCACCTCTTTGGAACCGTTGGAGTCCTCCAGGCCAGCTTGACCTCGGAAGGATGGAAAAATCGTAGGGAACCCTTTGGAAGCCACAACTACTGCAGGACTTCCTATGGTTTTATCAGCAAAAAACTCGCTTCAACCATGAAAGATAGGGTTTTAGGATGTTTTAAGATGGTTTAACTATCCTGACATGGATGCTTCACATGTGGCCGTATAAACTAACCCCCCATGGCAGACACTGGTTTGGTACGGAACATTTTTATGAGTTGGGGTCCCAACTTGAGGTATTCAATGCGATCGTGGTGATGACAAAAAAGTTTTAGAAAGGGTCAACTTCTAGAAACATGGCAATTGCAACAGAATGCGCCATGAAACGGTGTTTGCATTATACTTATATACTACCCTCTGGTAATTTACCATAACTATGGAAAATCACTATTTTTAATGGGTAAATCCACTATAAATGACAATTTTCAATAGCTATGTTAGTTTACCAGAGGGTAGATATTAGGTCAAACTTGGGTAGTCTAAGGGAGGATGGCCGGGCATTGAATCCCAAAATGACCCACCAAAATCGGACGAGGACCGCGTATCCGATCGTCTCACCCTGACACGGCATAGAATAAGCAATCCTTTTGGCTGATTCCCCTCACTAATGCCTTAAGCCATTATCATTATCGGTGCGAGGTTGTAGAATAACATCGAATAACGAGGAGGTCATGACTTAATTTATCCATGTTTAATGTTTATCAATTTGATTCAATGTTTACCCTCTGGTAAACTAACATAACTAAGGAAAATCACCATTTTTTATGGATAAATCCACTATAAATGGGCATTTTCAATAGCTATGTTAGTTTACCAGAGGGTATCATCATTTGTCCCATTTAAAGTCCCTATTTTGAGACCCAAGCTGCCAGGACGCCTTTCGTAAATTTCGGAGTTGGGGGAAGCTGGGTTACAGGATGCAGCTAATTTGGTTAGTGGCCTGATTGCTTGTCCATGGTTGTTCATTATATTATCATCAATGATCATGAATGGATATATTATCAATGACCATTAGTTACCATTAAATGATCATTAATTACCATCATTATATTATATCCCAGGACATATATCCCATAATGATATATATATATATATATCTATATGGTCCCACTGTACAACTATTATATTAATGATATCCTGGTAATGTTCATTATATCCCACTGACATATCCCAAAAAACGCATCCTGGTCCGAAAAACCTCTTGATTTCACCAGCGGATTCGGCTGAGACGCTGAAGTCCGGGCCCTCCCCCAGTCGCTCTTCTCCCACGGCGGGTGATTTCCCGGAGCTCAGGGAGAACCTTTTTTGCCATCCCGGAGCTGAGGGAAACACTTTCGGAAAAACCCACCATTTATGGGTCAAAATATGGGACATACATGCGAAATTCATGGGCTTCAATGGGATATATAGCTATATATATACATATATAATATATATATAATATATATATATAATAACCATTAATATCTTAATAACCAATACAGTATTGCATCACATGGGGGTGACTGAAAATTGGCATACCAGGCTGACAAAGATTTACATATCTATATTGAACCGGTTAGGTAGCACATGGTAGCACCAACAAACCCAACAGGGGGCCCTCCTGTGTGGAAAATGTGGAAAAAGAAAAAACAACCAATCATGGGAATTGAAGAGCTGGATCATGCTCAAGGTTAGCGGGTCTCTAAAACTTGCCTAGCCATGCTGATCTATGTCCATCTTTCACTGAATCACTATCCACGTGCCGATCATGTCAATCTGTCTGTCTTTGAATCGACGTGTCTGTCTTTGAATAACATGAATGCACGCGTGCGGTATCAATGTCTATCCACACACACACACATATATATATATATATACACCTGGGGGCCATACTTCGGAAGCCTCAAAGCAGCACAGAAAGCGGTCTCATTTTTTGGCCCGCGCAAATTGACTGACCAGCAATGCCATCACGCCTTCAGCAGCATCCTGCGGCGAGCAAAGATGGAGCATATATTGGATTGCCCGGACAATGCGCTTAGTCAACATGGGGTTACAACTCCTGCTGGGCCAATCACAAAAAACCGAAAAGGGATGCATCTTCAAGGTAATGGGTGCTTCTCTGCACAACACATGAAGCTCTCTTTTTTGGGCCCGCAAAAGTCGCACGAAAATTCAAAGGCATCGTCCATCATTGCCTCAATCTCCTCATCACAAGGCCATGGCATGAGAGGTTCCTGCAATGCAGCTGCGCCAGTTGCGACAGAAGCAGGAAGAATTCCATCAGGAGTGTTCTTGCTCGCAGCAGCTGTGCCAGATTCGGCTGAAGCAGGAAGATTTTCACCAGAAAAGCTCGAAGAACAATCCTGGCGCCACTCACACCCACTGAAAACATAACATTGGAAACGCCCATCCAAAGGAGGCAGAAGGTCCCAAAGCACTAGTGCAGACATCTCTTATGAATTCAACCATGTTTGATAACATCGCATTCAAAACAAAATAGGAACATGATTATGCTGTTGGCCTCCTTTGGATGGCCGTTTGTAACGTTCCGTTTTGCATGGGCCAGCCGGTCCTCGGACTTGAACACCTTCTTCGAACACTCCACCCAGACTGTGCGTCTGTCGATGGCACCCTTGTGGTTGGGCGTGAAATATTCCACTGGCCAGAACTACTTCAAAGCTTGCAGAAACGTACTTCCCAGTACTACTTTGCACTACAAAGCTTGCAGGAACGTACTTCCCAGTACTACTCTGTACTACAAAGCTTGCGGAAACGTACTCCCCAGTACTACTTTGTACTACAAAGCTTGCAGGAACGTACTTTCCAGTACGACTTTGTACTACAAAGCTTGCAGAAATGCACTTCTTTGTACTACAACTCTTGCAGGAAATGGGAACACAGGTTCACCAAATACTGCGCCTGCCACGAAAAATGACAATCTGAAGCATCCTGGAATCAGCATGAGATGGCCAGTTCCAATGCGATTTACGATTTGCTAGGAAAGCATGCGCGGCCAAAATCGAAGCACTCCCCGCACGAAAACCAAAATCATAACGTTGGAATCCAACGTTACGATCCGTTTTTGGCGACAGTTTCACAAAAAAGTGGAAATCATAACGTTGGAACGCGGTTTGAAATAGAATATAATATTCTTTTTTTGGCCGCATCCAACGTTACGATTTCGACTTTTGTCCCACACCTGCCACGAAAAACAAGCATAACGTTGGAATCCAACGTTACGATTTCGGCGTTTGTCCCACGCCTGCCACGAAAACTCGGACCAGAGGCTCACCAAATACTGCGCCTGCCACGAAAAGAGCAATTAGGGGCTTACCAAGTACTGCGCCTGCCACGAAAACTGGGACCAGAGGTTCACCAACTATTGCGCCTGCCACGAAAAATGGAATTAGGGGTTTACCAAATACTGCGCCCACCACGAAAAGTGGGACCAGAGGTTCACCAAATACTGCGCCTGCCACGAGAAATGCATTTAAGGGCTTACCAAATACTGCGCCCACCACGAAAACTGGGACCAATTCGTGGCAAGCTGGAATCCAAGATTGATTGCAAATTTTCGAACATATGAATGAAACCGGGTGCCTTTGTCACACCTACGGCTGATTTTTGCACACATGCACACACCTGACCTCATTCCATATCTGCTTTGTGGCGGCCTTCAGCTGCTGCTTTAAAACCAGCCTTTCAGCACGCAAGCCGGGCAGCTGATCTGGCACAGCTGCGCGCACTGGCACAGCCGCGCCATCAGGTCTTCCGTCTGCACCATTGCCAGCTGCGCTTTCATCATTTGCTGTGTCAGACATGTTGACTGAACTGCGAAGCAGCAATATCTGTGAGTCTGAAAAAGGCTGCGTCAAAGCATGTGTCCACAAGTCTGATGCTGTCTTGGGACTGCAACATAAATGGGGCTGGTTTGAGAGCCCCAAAAACGGTCACACTTGAAGCTTCAATATGATGGACCCTTGCAGTGCGGCAATTAACGCACACACACACACAACAGTGCCCCAGCTTGCTCACGCAAACTCGCATCTCAGCTTTTCATGCCCTGCTTCACTAAGTACAATCTGCTGAACAGCAGCTTTTTAAAGCAGGCTCGCATAAGCGTAGCCCATCTTTCGCCGCTGCGGCCAGATCATTTGCACTTCCTCCTTGGTCGGTTTCACCGCCGCAGGAAAAGAAACAGGGTGTGCCATAAAAGAAGCCAGGGCTGAGTGTAAATGTGAAACATCCCGGGAGGTCCCGACAGACTTGAAGGCCCCCGACCAGTTGTGGCATGCAAAGCACTCTTTGTGTGCTTGCGAAATTTGCCAAAGTCAAGCCAATGGTTCTGGCTGCCCCTCTGCAGCTGTCTGCCTCTGTTCTCGGTACTTCTGACGCAAGTACGACTTGAAGCACCAAAAGGCGAAGACGTCCAAAGGCTGGAGTAAACTTGTTGTAGATGCTGGTATATATAGTAATTGAAATCCATGTCGCTTTGCCGCTACTAAAATAGTTTTCGGCAGGTGTGGGCACGCGCAGTCCCACATTATGACTGGTGAGATGCCTGCGAGAAAAGGCATGAGCGCCTTTTTCACGGCTTGTAAAATCACCAGCATGCAATCAGCTGTGACCCAAGATGACTTGCCACGAATGATTTGCAGCTGCGTACGAGGCAAAGCGTTGTACGCTCTCAGCAAAGAGCTCGGTAGCCAAGTCTGGGAGCTAATCAAGAAATGAGGAAGAAATGGTTGTATACTTGGATCACTGCAAATCAGAGCGCGGTATGTGTAAGCGCCGCGCCGGCGATCCTTTCTGATCTTCATGTGTGGCACTTCTGGATGTTTCTTCCAATGCTTCGCGTTTACTATGCACCCCGCCCCCGGTAGTGGGGAATATGCTATTGAAGTCTCGTCAAAGTTGATCCAAAGAATCTTGCCAGTGACCTTCTCGGTGATGTAGGAAATGCTCTTCCAGAAGACATTGATCTGCCATGGTCGGAAAAATCTTGCAATGAAGTCTCACCAAAAACAGACAAAATTGTTTCCAAATGCGGCCCCAAAATTGAGACCGTTTTTGGGCCCCAAAATTGCTTCCCCCACTTAAACAAGACCACAATTCGGGACTCCCAGGCGGTCCCAAAAATAGGACCTGACATCCAAAGTTTGCAGGCCTTCTGCTGCAAGTCTTCCGGATTGATTTGGCCAATCGGCCGCAAGCGCCCCCTTCGCACGGCCCAACGAGCACGCCATCGAGCAACCCATTTGTTCACAGTTCGTTTATGAGGCCGCCCACTTGGAATCTTACAGGCATTGCAGGATTCAAAGCGGCTAAACACTTCTGCTGCACACGGAGCCACGCCGTTGGCAAGGTTCTGTGCATGAACCCAACGCCAAACCTCCTGTTCCCCAAGGAAGACGCGAGCAAATTTCAGAGCCCTTGCCCAAGCCATGTTGGCTTCGTCATGCATGCAAAGAAGATCGTCTAAATCAATATCCAAAAACAGTTGCCGAACCAAAGTCTTGCTGGGGAAATTCACATCTGCTGGGGGTAACGTTGACAAATGTCTTGCAGCTTCCTCCGCCGTCGCCAGATCCCACGAAGAAAGCATGTACACTGCCAGCACCCTTTTGACAGCTGTCACTGATAACCCCCCATGTTCCAAGCGCAGCTTGTTGCGCCGTGCAGCTTGCTCACTACTCCGCAAGCGCAACCTGTTTTCATGCAAAGAAGCTTTCAATGCCTCACAACGCTCCGCTGCTGCCATGGCGTGCCTTTGGCCGCGCCCGGCCACAGCTTTTAGCAAGTTTCCATGTGTATATATACCCTTGCCACACTTGCGTAGACATGAAAGTACTAGAAAGTACAAGTTAACATCATATAGATCATGCCTGTGTGTTTTCCTGCGCATTCTTGACACAGCCTCTCATGGACATGACAGAAACCCCTTCGCTAAGAGGGTATAGCCAAATGTCAGCGAAGCAGAATAAAGAATCACGCTTTGTTTTCAGCTACCTCTTCTTTTTACGACCAAAACAGTTGACCCTATAGGGAGCCATGCGTTGTGAACACCTTATTGACTGAAATAAACAAAATTTGCCCAGATTAGTGGTCACACTCTCCCGCCCAGATATTACGGCAAGCATGGCTGGGTCTCCAAAAACTCCTTCCAAGACAAATTGACAAAAGCGGCGAGCGACACACACACACACACACAGTGCGGCAATTAACGCACACACACACAACAGTGCCCCAGCTTGCTCACGCAAACTCGCATCTCAGCTTTTCATGCCCTGCTTCACTAAGTACAATCTGCTGAACAGCAGCTTTTTAAAGCAAGCTCGCATAAGCGTAGCCCATCTTTCGCCGCTTCGGCCAGATCATTTGCACTTCCTCCT